GGGGCGCAGAACAACCACAGACCTCTAAAAACATCAGGAATGGGATCAGGTGCCATGGAGGTGTAAGCATCCCTTGTCGACCGGTCACACCTGCCTGGTTTACATGATCGGAAAACAGAAAAATCCACAGAATTCACTGTGTAAAAAAGACCTATCCGTTTGTGTGAAAAACGTCAGTCGGCATTTGACTTTGCTCTAGATTTGATTGTTTTTGCTGACATTGTCATTGTATCGACTTGTTTATAAATAGTTTGCAACATTTTAGAAATTGGCCAAATATGTTCTTACATACCGAATCAACTGGAAGACATAAACTCCATATGGAGTTGATAAGAGTACTCGTATATTGCTTCATAAGTAAGGGAAGTTGACGATAGAAAAGTTACAGTCATCACGTTTATCCTAATATTCTATTTTTAGGTTACAATTAACGTCTTTTCTAGGAAAATACCCAAACATGAAACAGGTCAATTTTTTTTCAGATGTATATGACCCTCCGTTCCATTATAATAGGGGTTCGTGTTTCAAGGTTATCTTTTCCTTACTTTAAAATTTCCTTCAAAATTTAATTAATCTGAACATTCCAGAGTGTCTAGACCTACACACCTCCCGACCCCTTCAAATGAAATCCATACTGAAAAAAGGGAGCCCCATCTGACTCAGCTGTTTTTACAATAAAAATGGAAGCTGGGCTTATGCATTTTTAAATTATTATATTTCAAAAAGAGAAAAGATTATCTGGTTTGAAATGTAAATCTAAATGATGAAATGATGAATATTTTGACGTTGAATATTAAAGCCATCGCTCCTACCAATAAAAAATTATGGGCAAGGTTGAATTTTTTTGTGTACAAACAGACAGACGAACAGACAGGGTAGAATGTTTATTTCCGAATCCATGGTAATGGGGACATAAAACAAACAGAGAGAAAGCCCTCAGCACTTATCGAAACCACCAACAAAAAGAAAAAAAATCTGATTAGAACAAATCAAACACTTAGAAGTAGTAACATTTTATCACGTTATACAGTTTAACATAAGAATTCACCACATTTAGGCAATATACGATAATAGTTTTTAAAAACATCAGTGTTGCCGACAGAAAACAGACAAATTAATTACCAAAAAAATGAGAACAAAAACCAGTCGGACATGAAACAATTCTGATATCCCGCTTACTGTGTGAAACAGTCCTTTAGTAAATTCAAAGTAAAAAAATTATGTTTTATTATAATTCCTATATAATAATAATAATAATAATAATAATAATAATTCAATCAATAAATAACGAGAAAAAATTCAAATATTAATTTGTTGCAAAGCAATTTTCCTTGCTTTTTTATTACTATATAATGTATTATTCCATATTTCAACATAACATTACTTACAGATAGATAATCAAATGCAGAATGAAATGTTGCACAAATTATGAGATGTGTGTGGTTTTCTACTCACCGTGAACCTTCTCGTGCCCCAGAGAAAAGTGAAGGACCACGACCTAATGTATCCGGCCTGCTTTCTCATGACGTGGAGCCCGCGTCACCACTGGAACTTAATTAACAACAGGTAAACATGCATTTTTTCATGTATGCTCTTAAAATAAACCAGATAAACTGGCTTTGTAATTAACAGACTTGGGGGAAAAAAATTTGAGAGAGAAAACAAAAAGAAAAAACAAAACATAAGGAATTCTAAGTAAAAATTTTATTTCCATTGGTTAATTTACATTTATTTTATTTTTGATTTTAGATACTTGTGTCTATTATTACATTTCATAATATACCAAACTTCTCTCCAACGAAATATGTGGAGAAAAAGAACAGAAATCGAGCTCAAACGTCCATTAAACCTTATAAAGATAGGAGCAGAGCAAACACGAACTTCCAAAACATCAGAGGTGGGATCAGTTGCCATGGAAGAATGAGCATCCCCTGCCGACCGGTCACATCCGCCGTGTGCTCCGTGTGTGTGTTCGCAGTCATGATCGGAAAATAACGGAAAAATCAGTCAACAAATCAGTTAATATTGGCCTAACAATCAGTACGAAAAATAAAATCAGTCAGTATCTGACTTAATGATAAATTGTATTTGCTGACAATGTCATTGTATCGACCATAGAACTTACAAAATTATCACTTAAAACGAGCATTTCACCTCAAAATATCCATTTTTGATCTCTAAAACAATCGTGAAATCATGTGACATGGAGGGGTAAATATAGACTGTACGTACGTAGAATATGCTCTGCGTATAGAGGCAACTTGAAATACAGGGGATAATGAAATAATGCCACAGAAATAAGCGAAGTTAACATTGGCAAAATAAAGCCAAAACGTTGATAATAAAGTTCTGTTGTAAGTTATTGAGTAACGCCTTCTTCTTTAAAATATCTTAATATGAAACAGACATGTCAGACTTTGTGGTATCTCAAGTTCAAAGAGATATATCGAATTAATGGAGGAAGGAATATGAATTTTGAGATGAGACCTCGTCGATATACCTAAATGTTGAATTGAAGGTCACTGCAAGAGACTTCGATTATTTTTTGGAAGACTTGATCTGCAGAAATTACAAATATTCTAAATCAGAAATTTAAGCACCTTTTAAATGTCAACTTCGAAGTATCTGTGTGTACAATTAGAAAGGTTTGTACAAAATGTTTTGTAAATGACCAATGACAAGGTAAGTAAATTTAAATCACCGTAAAAGCAGCTGTCAATGATGTCAAAAAACTGGACCTTGTTAGAAGTAGGTGGGATTTATTGTATGAAGTATTGAGAAATTATCATATATTATTTATTTTGGTTATATTAAGTATCCATATATCTTTTACACCACTTCTCAAAAATATGTACACTTCTCCTGAAGTTTCTTTTTTTAGTGAGAATTCGAGAGAATGTTAACTGGAACTCGCACCTTTCTGTGTGGGTTTTATGCAGTTAAGGAATCCAGTGAGCACATTATTCGTTTGAATAATTACTTATTTTAGAATTGCCTCAGATTTGTTGAAATGTGGTTAAATAATGACCTTGGCACACCTTTCTAAAATCTCGGAAACGGCAATTTTTTCGACCTACTATTTTGTGGTATGAACGTTGAAACAAAAATGACATTTGTATGGTCATCAATCTTTTTTCTAAACTTTGTTTCGTACTTGAATCATAGCATTTAAATTCATTAAATAGCAGATTGAATGTAACATGCTTCATATTGTTAATTTTTCATTAAAAAATTAAATGATTTGTTTTAATTAGAAATATTTTATTTGCAAATAAAAAGAATTGTGGCCTCTATTTTGAGATATGACTCACTCTAACATGCACCCAGATAATACAAGTATTTTTTAAAAAATTTTTTTTATCCAAACACAGGCGGGGGATGTATGTTGTACATAAAATTTTGTAGGGAATTGTGAATCAGTGCCACTTATTGTATGAATCTTTGATAACATTTGCAATAATAAAAATTTTTTGTCATAAAATTTTGATAAACTAGGTTTATCGACTGTAAACTATAGTTTACTAACCGTAAACTATAGTTAACGATTCGTTAAGTATAGTTAACGATTCGTAGTTAAGTATACTTTTCATATGTAAAACTATATTTAACGGTTGTTAACTATAGTTTACGAATGATATCTTTTATCTGTCTGTATAACAACCATTTTTGTTGATAAACATATTCAAAACTAAAAATCTTATTTAAGAGTTGTTAATCATAGTTTCACAAATCGTGAAACTATATTTATCAGATGTTACTTGTTAACGGTTTGTAAACTATAGTTTACAAATATATCAATATAATTGATCTGTTAAGTATAGTTTACGGTTGTGAAACATAGATTATCGCGTTAACTATAGTTTACATGTGTAAAATATAGTGTAGAGAAATGTTTATTTTTTTTGGCGTGCCATATATATCAAATAATTTCTTCGCAGAGAAATGTATTTTTTTAAAATTATTCTAATTCGCACTTTTAAAAATTAATTAACTTGCTTGTCTATGTCAAAGGACATTTCCGTCTACTCTTTTTATTGTTTATGAACATTCCTGGCAATTTGCGTTCTGTTTACTGAATAATTTTCAAGTAATTTTTTTTCCTTCTATGTAAATGAGAATTTTTTCATTGTTAAAAAATATAAAATAGATGAAAGCAAGGAATGTAAATTAACGTCATAGGAAGATATTCTTTAGAAATATTTCGCATCTCTTTCTGAAATAGGTCAGCATTTGAAACTGAAATAAATCTAATAATACACATTCGTACGTCATTACGTGAACTTTGACATTTCTTGGTCATGCCTGTCATATTTAAATAATTGTTACCACAAAGCAGGGATTCCCTCACATGCTCCAGTACACGTGCATCCTTGCGCATCATTTAACCAGAAAAGTCAAATCAGGGTAATTAACAGACAATTAGGAGACATGCATTTAATTTATGATTAAAGTTTATATTTTTGCATTTCTGTGTTTAATGATCGTAAGATAAACAGTTTCCTATTTAAAGACAGGGAAATCAATTTTATATAATAATGTAAATGTAAGTAAAAATCATTAATTTTCATGATTTATTCAACCCTTCACTGGATTTGAAAAAAAAAAACAACTTAAGATTCCTTATCATAACATATAAAATTTTATTCTCGTGTTCAGAAAAAAAACATGATAACATTTTGTAAAACCGTTCTTTCTTTGTTTAAGGATAATGAAAACAAATCATCTACTAGTATTCCTCTCTTGAAAAAACAATATACTTGTATTAATATTTTTTTTAATTTCAATATTCTTCTATTTTATCAGAATATAATAATGGATGTTCAAATTATCTTTGACGTCACGAGTCCCTTAATTTCAACGAACACATGTCCGTATACTTACATTCAAATACTGTTTTTGTTGAAAGATTGGTGTAAATATTGTACAAATGGACAATATTCCGTAAACAACATAAGTGGTATTCCGTATGGGGATTTGAACACGGCGTATGGCCGATAATTTGATGTGATTATCCTTCAGGCAATCATCTGCTAGTTTTCTATTCTCTTAATGAAACACTTGATGCTCATCTCCGAAGCCAGATAGCGGAGTAATTACTTAAATTTAATAAATATCGATTGACCTATCACGCAGTTTTTACAATATAAATCGAAATCGAGACCGCTCAGATTTATTTCACGCGGTTTTTGGTTGTGATAACTAAAACATGGACATGTTTGAGAGAGTTTTGTTTGGAGGACTTTTCTTGGTTTTTATCACCACTGTTCAAGGTAGGGAATATAGCTTGCTCCATATTGCTATAAAATCTTTTCAATTGCCCTTTCACTACTATCATGATTTCAAATAGACCGAACAAATATATCATTATCATATTGCACCTGATCCCACCTCTGATGTTTCGAGGTCCATATTTGCTCTGCTCCTATTTTGTATTGTTTTAGGGACTTTTGAGCTTGAATACTATACAATTATTGCTGTTTTTAAGGTCAATACGATGATTTAGCCAGCTGCAGTAATAAAATATTTACCAAGCCCGAAGGGCGAGGTGAATATTGTACTTCTACTTCTAAGGTGGCTAAATCGTTGTATTGACTGAAAAAACCCAGCATTAATTGTTTTATTATATGATTTTATGATTAAACGGTACAACTCATTACTTGTTTGCATTTGCTGAAGTCCTATATAGCCAAAACAAAGAAGGCAGCAGAAAAGCAATGTACAGAAACATTACAAGTGGTATTATTTATTTGACATTTTTAAACGTATTTTATGAAAAAATGTATATAATGCCAGGTTCTTTTATAGGATAGATTTTGAAAAGGGAGGAAGATTATCAGCTGAAAAAGGAAAAATTTACGTTAAAAAAAGGTGACATAGGGGAGGGAGGTATTCCCCTGTCCCCCTCTAACCACCTCAATCCCAGATTATAATATTCCCTAAGTTCACATGAGTAAAAGTCAGTAGCAGGTGAAAAAGGTTTCAAATTTATTTCTATCAATTTGGAATTTCCTGATATATTTTTAGACCAAAATAGTGAAAATAAATACTTATATTCACCTGGAACGTCAATATAACGTAGTATTTTTTCTACATTGCTGGATCACTGCCAATCAGAGAGATAGGAATTATTCAATCATATAATAATTATCTCCATATATTTCAGTATATTAAATACAACAATCTATAATGTAGTAAATTTTAAATTTACTTTTTGTTTCTTTGCGCTGCAAGAAAGGGTAATTGTGTTTCTTTTATGGAAAGAGGAAAATGCCTGATGTACATGTACTTAGATGTATATCTCAAACTAAGCAATCGTATAATTTTATTTAAATATACCTATCTTTTTTATATAGAAAAGAGAGACGTAAAACAAAGCATTACAAGAAACAGACTATGTCTCTCATCATATGTACTTTTGCAATGAAAACTTTTTCTTTATACCAGGAACATGCTCATTTTCACGAAACTTAGAAGGTGAGTGGACGATTGAAAAAGATGGACAACTGTTGGGACGAATGACAGTAGGCTACACAAGAATGGACGTAACATATATGGGTCAGGTCTACAATTATACGTGTGCTCAGTTTGACTATCAGCAGGAAAAATACCTTCTGAGGTAAAATATATTAGGGATCTTACCTCCATTTATTTCAGAATTAACAGAACACATGAATATATGTTGACAATAGACATGAAAAGATTTGGTCTGGCATTTTCTCTGTGACACATCATTGTTTCAGGATCATAAAGTACACAATAACAAATAATACTATTCTATAGCTAAATAGTGATAATGGGTATTAAACGGACATTAGTTAAATGTCTCTCTCATTGTATGCATAGAAGTGTCACTGATGCTAAAGGAAAGGCCTGTCTGATGTTTACTCCTTTTGGTTCTGCAGACACACTGATGATGATCAGACTTCACAGTAAGTATCTGTTAAACACAGACCTGTACAACCAGCCCGATCTACTATCTTATATCCACCAAATCAGAAATATAAGTATATCATAAAAAGTTTAATAAGGAAGAGAGTATTTGTAAAGAAAAAAACAAAGTTTTACCGATGAATTTTTTCCCTAATGCAAACTTTTCAATGTACTTACCCATGCTTTATTTCTTTGTTTTAACAGTGACCCACATTTACGATGACCGTGCATTCTTTACACCCCAGTACTTGGTAGGTGCCGGGACAATGAATTCCGTCTGTAACAACTATGACGATGGACAGATCCTCTTTATTAATTATGTTCAGTGAGTGGGGGAACAAAATTTTCAGTGCGTTCAAATTCAGGGTATTAACTGATCCCATCCTATGAAAAGCCCCCCGTATTTATATATATGAACAAGAGTATATAATAAAAATTGTAAAACTAAAAATGGATCTGTGAAAAAAATATGCCTTTACCTTGACAATACGTTAAATGTACAAATTAAGTGTGAATGAGGCACGTTTAATGTTACGTTTGAAGAAGGATCTTGACATGAATTTTGACATAACTAAGTGGGTTTTTTTTTTAGTTTACTTACAAAAAACATTCACTGACAACATTTTTATAGGATGTTTCATGTAAAAAGGAGCAGTTTTCTACAAGTGATTGTACTGTACGGTCGATCTTTTTTCTCTTATTTTAGTAATTTTAAAGAAACAAAAAACAGAATCTAAACAAGACAACTTTCTTTGGGATTAGAAGCACCTTTTCTAGATAAATTAATGATACACACAGTGTAAATGACAATTATTCTGGAAGAAACAACAAGATGGTATTTAAGTTTACGATCAACTCGAACTTTCTTCACAGTATGTTAATGAAGGAACACTGGTTGGTATGCAGAGCACCACATCCTGAGTAATTTACTTTGAAGAAATACAGAAAAATCTTAATTTAATTAATTACAATGTCATGTTACACAGTTTAAAAGAAAAACAACAGGAACGATTAACAAAAACCTCTCAGAAATCTGTAAAAGATGAAATGTTTACTTGTTTAGACTGTTTTGCATTCAAAATTGCCCATTCTTCAAATACCCGGTATTTATCTTTAAAATATAGCTTTTATTTATTGTGGTGTTATGTCTGTTTACATATTTATATATCAAAACATTGACACATTGCTCTTTTGTACCTACCCTTAGAATTTACTTTATTTCAAAATATTAATATTTATGTGTACATTTATAAAATATATAAAGCAATGTGTTTTTAAAAGAATATTATTAGCACAAATAACTTCTGCTTGATCTTTTTTATTCGTGTTCAAGTCGTGTCTAAACTTATTATTATTTAATTTGAATTGTTTTATTTATGAATGAAATGAATTCAGTATAAGTTTTAGTATAAATTCTAATCAAAATCAGTAGATTTGTTATTACGATAAATAATCGTAAGGGGGTATGACGGATTCATGCAATTTTCTATCTACTATTTCATCTCAGTATAAAAATTCCGTACTTTCACTTAATGGATCAATTTGATTTAAAATTAATTTTTCTAACAGTTAATGAATTTTTTTTCATATTTGGTGAGAGACGATTGATATAAAAATGTTGTTGTTCGTCACAAAGATAGAGTTATCGCTCATTATACAAGATTTATCTCTGTTTACTTGTATCCTACGGTCAAATGAATAATTTATTGTTATATACCATTAGATTATACATGATGATTAATGAATTAGTTAATCAATGCATCACTTTGTTTGGTTGCTTACAAATTTTATTAAATATTGAACAGTCGATCACCAACAAGGCTACCTAATGAAATTAATTGAAATAAATTCAATAATTAGGAAATGATAAATGAATCATATTGGGAAATAGATATTTGATAACAAATTTTTTCAATTAAAACTTTTATTTCTTCAATCCTAACAAGAAAATATGGAAAATATAGAAAGGAGGATCCAAAGTCTTAAACCTGCTGTGATCTTGAAGTATGTTAAATGTCTACGCAGTCATTTGATTTTATATTTTATAATGTGCAGAAAAGAAACATTTTTTGCATTGAAAAATCTTGGATTCTTAAAAAAGTGATTTTCGAAACGTTATTTTGTTGTTGTTGTTTTTTTTTTTTATAAATATCTTTGCTTTGAATCAGCTTTACTCGCAATTGCACAATTACATCAGTTTTAAACTCGACAAGAATGGCACTTTTTAAACGAATCATGTTAGATGTTTAACAACATATACAAATTCTTTAACTTATTGAAGAGTCCAAAGCAGCTTGATTCAAATGAACATATAAAGAATGGTGTAAAATTTAGATACATAAACCTTGGGATATTTAAAGAACATAATTAAATAAAGAAAAAACAAAATTGAATGTGTACAGTACAGTCAGAAATTATTGAATTACTAACAACTAAATAAAAAAATTAATGAAACTAAAATAAATCTTAGGACAAGTAGACCGTAAAATTGTTTAATTTAAAAATCCTAGAAGAATTTTCCATTTTTCAACTTTGTTCGTTCTTTCATTACATTTGTTTATGCTAATTTAGCTGCTTTGGTTTTCAATGGAAAGTGTTAAAAGAGTTGCAGAGTCTTTTTTTGAAATGTTGACTTTAAACGACAATGTTATTTATCAATTTTGTATACTCCATTAGTTAATTCCAAAGAAGGAAAATTTATTTTACTCTTTCATACCTTGCAGTTTTTAAACATTTGTGAATACAAAATCAGGTAGGTTAATAACGGAACGCAAAATAATTATCAACCATGGGAATTCCCAACAATTCAGTAGGGAACAGTGCAAACACGGACCTCTTACAAGTCAGAGGTGGGATAAGGTACCATGGCAGAGTGAGCATTACCTGCAATGATAACTTTATGTAAGAGGAACTCTAGGAACCTGCAGGTTTTTGCGGGAAGAAAATACTAATACATAATCTTTTTCCACGAGATAGAGTTTTTGAAAACTTATCATTTGTACCTCAACAAACACCACCTATGTTACTGCGGAAGATTAATTTACTACTGCTTAAAATAAAGTGTGATTTTAGAGGAAGAAAGCATAGAAGAGAGACGGACATAACAACAGAACGCGAACATTCTTTGGAAAATGTATTTTTAATAAAAAAAAAAATTAAGATTCAATAATTCTTAAACGTAATTAATAAAATACGATTTCTTACAGTAGATCTAAAGTCTCATAGAATTTTATTTTTGATCAGGAATGGAGAAGGTGCCTGGTAGATTATTAATTACATTAGCTAGCAGGACATTCCACTTTATGGATATGGTTGTTGTAACCATAATGAACCAAATTATAAAGTATCCTTGTCAAAAATTCATTTAATTCAATAATTGCATACAGAATGAACTATATGGAGATAACGAACAACATTCAAGCTCAAAAGTCCGTTAAACAATACAAAATTTGAGGCAGAGCAAACACTGACCTGCAAAACATCGGAGGAGGGATCAGGTGCTATGCAGGAGTGAGAATCACCCGCCGTGTGCTCCTTGTCATGATTGGAAAATATCGCGAAAATTCCGTCGACAATTCAGTGTGTAAACAATGGCCTAACAATTAATATGAAAAACGTACGAGGGGTGTTAGAAAAGTTCGCGGACAATTTCTATTGTGAACGCACTATTTCCACAAAACCGGTCAAACTTTCCAGATAAAATCTTAACCTTTTTTCCAATAAATACACAAGAATTTGGTGCTCTCCGATGATTATTGAAATGTATACAGCTTTTTTATTTTGATAAAACTTGCTTCACGGAGCATGCTACATTTTGGCACGTTTACATCACAAAATCTCTTTATTAAAATTACAAAATGCACAATTGTAGCACAAAGAGACTTATGATATTTTACCTACCGCTAAAGTATTCATAAAACGTCACTGGGAGAAATTTTGAACTAAATTGGAGGGTATATGACTGTTTTATAGCCGTTTATGAATGATCAACGCGTAAATACACAGCCAAAAATCGGAACGTCACTGAGCGTCATGGAGCACTGCACTGCGTAAAAATTATGTGTGCAGACAGGAAAATGTCTAAAAAGAGATTAAAGTGTTCAAGATGCTGCCGGGAATTTCCTACACATACAAAGGACAAGTTTTCAAATGGTTGTAGCTTCATAAGAATGAAAGGATTAACATTTTGAATGATTAACGCCATCGACACTTCAATACCCCCTTATCGCATGGACGTTGCATTGCGCCTATATGGTTTTGCATAGTTTCAATACATGATCGATTAACTGCATAGACGTTTTTAAAGATCTCAGTAATATCCGAATCAGTACAAAAGACATTATAGTAAAAAATTACATGTCTTGATTTAGATATTCAATTTTAAGATAGAAAAAAGATAAGAAAAATCTGAAGAAATGAAAGATTTATAGAACTGCGACAAAGCTTAACGGGTTGAAGTCTGGTTGTCACGTCGCCTTACGTCAAGTGATTGCTCCGTGAATCCCATGACCTCATAGTAAAAATCGTTGTAAATTTTCAAGATTTCATTATATGGACTTAATTTTTTACATACCAATAAACAAAATGTAGGAATTTATTCAGACATAGGTCATACTTCACAGTACACAAAAGATTTTCCGTAATTCAATGTGTCCGCGAACTTTTCTAACAACCCTCGTAAGTCAGCATTTGACTTAATGATAAATTGTATTTGCTGACAAGGTCATTGTATCGAACAAAGAACTTATGAAATAAAGACTTTAAATGAGACTGTTGATATTCTTGTTTCATCAACTTCTTTGTCAATAATTTACCTCGTTTTAGAAATTAATCATGCGTAGATCGAACATGCACTTGCGTATCAAATCAGTTGAGAGATATAAGCCCTGTATGCAGATGATGAAGGTATATTGCTGCGTAAGTAAGGGAAGTTGACAATTGAAAAAATAAAGTCATCTCGTTTGTCATAAAACTTGGTTATTAGATTACCATTAACGTCTTCTTTCAATTAAAATATCTGTATATGAAACAGATGTGTCAGACCCTGTGGTATCTTTTTTCTTTCATTTCATTATTTCATATTTAGAAGGTATTATATAAAGTTGGACTAATTGTACACTCACAAATCCCATTCCTCAATGAAATAATTAAATGGTCAAAAAGAAATTAAAGTTTATATTCAAGTTGGGTTCTTGATAATTTCAAACCTTTGCGAAAGCATGTCTTTTTAGTTAAATCTTTCATTCTTTGATAAAAACAAGGTAAAAAAGAATTAACTGAAGTTCAATCATCCTTATTTAAAAACATTCAATATCCCTCTGCACAGAGTCCAAAGTACCCTTCCAATTTATGATTTGTTGGTTGAAGAATTATCTTGAAACTTAGGCTTGGTGATAAGTTCGCTTTTTGCATATTTTAGTTTTTTTAATTTCTTAATACATAATTAGTCATTACAAGGAAGTACCCTGGACATTACAAAGAAAAAAATCTGGGTCTATTTGATTTATTGGGTACAAATCTAATATTCCATAACAGTAGCAATCATAAAAGTAGCTGATGTTGTATCTAAGTAGCCAGTATCTAGATTTATAACAATGTAACAGATGGATTGTAATTGCAGAGATAAAAATAAATGGTTCTTTTCTGAATTGAACATTCGACAAAAAACCCAAAAGAGACACATTCTATCGTGTTATAAAAGATTTCTAATACAAATGCTCACCTTCGTAACATCCAGTAGTATATTTCCCTCAATGTTTCAACCTGACAGATCAAAGCGACAAAATGAAATGCTTTATTTGATATGTTTGTTTGTATTCTTCATTATTTAGAGGACTATTTCGTACACATGGACCTTTCTACTGCAAGGCAATGGTGGAAATAGGTAATAATATAACTGGGAATACTTCTGCTCTCTGTGCCAATGATTTCTGTAAAATTGCAAATTACATTTGGATCATCTTATCACCTGTAATTTTTGTTTTCGGGTTGACCAGTGGATTTCTAATGATTTTAGTGTTGGTTCGGATAAAATTCCAGCGATCACCACTGATGTTCTTTATATTTGTCCTAACTGTGACAGATATAAGTATTTTGTGTGTCGGTCTTGTAAGAATTTGGATTTTAGAAACATGGGACTTTGACATTAGAGAATTATCGGACGTATCCTGTAGCATTTTTCATTTTCTTATCTATTTCTTGATGCAATATTCTTCATGGATACTTGTGTTTGTAACCCTGGAGCGTTTCATTAAATGTAAATATATAATGTATAAATCATTGATCACTATGAAGAAATGTACATACATGGTGATATCTGTGTTCATCCTTCTTGCAGCTTTAAACTCGCATTATTTTTGGACACATAGTTTTGTCATCACAGAAAACAATACTACTAGTTGCAATGTCACGCCAGGGTATGAAAGGTTTGACGACTGGTACATTAAAATTGACCTGTTTATCTTGTGTGTGATTCCATTTTGTATTATGCTTTCTCTGGACATTATAATTATGAAGAGTTTGAAAGCAGCACGCACGTTCCGAAGATCCTCCATAGCTGCTCCACAAGTGTACAATCGGATGAAGAAGATGGACCGAAAACTAACCAAAATGTCCGTCATCACGAACAGTTATTTTCTCGTGTCTACACTACCTGTTTCATTATTATTTATCCTGACTGTGTATCTTAATAGTGCAGCAGAGCCTTTGTATTCGATCTTTACACTGTGTGGAAGCATAGTATATACTTTACAGTATAGTAACTATGCCGTAAACTACGTATTTTACACAATTTATGATAAAAGGATCAGAAAAGAACTCAAACGAATTTTAAGGATCGCAAAGCCTAGGTAATTTTGTTCTCTCATTTTTTCATTTCTTTTTGTCGAGATAATTTTCACCTCTTAAAATACCACTGTAAGTGCAATACTGTAGATCACTAAATTTTCGCGACACCTTATTTTCGCGAGATATTCATTGACTCTTTATTAGCGAGACATAATTTTTACGAATTGTTGTTTTTCCTCTATATAATCATGATAATCGTAACTAATACTTTTAAACGCGAGAATGAAATTTTGGCGAGTTCACTGTCTCGCGTAATTACGCGAAAATTAAGTTCTCGCGAATAAAACGTGATTTACAGCATTCATTTGATATATCTTTATGATATTTCCTTAGTTTGATTTTACTTTCTAATTCGTAATGAAATGCTGTGAACTATTTAAATGAAAATTAATTTTCAAATTTCATCAAATATGAAAAAAAGAAAGATAAATAAACTCGAGTTTATTGGAGATTTGTATAAAATGTCTGTCGCATGCGATTCATTATTATTGACCAGGTAAACTTAGTAATCCGTAAACGATGGGGTAAAACATGGGTAAAATAAGTCACTCCTAATACAACCAAACGATAGGAATTGGCAAACAAGATCATTATATAGACGATAGAATTTTTTGATAGCACTGTAACATCAATAATGCATAGTCTGTTATACAAGAGAAACGTGCACTAGAACTCGAAATAATTGTTAGAAATAAAGAAAAGTTGAGATAATGAACCAGAAAACTGGCAAAGCTCATTTCATCTTCGATTTCAATAAAATGAAGTTTAATATTTTAACTTAATAATTTGACAGGTTTGTACAACAAGGCAGTCAGTACACGCTGCGGTCCAGCTCCATGGAGACGTCTCAGTCGTTATCAGCCACCTCTACAAACGTATCCATTAGAAGTATCTCGGGGAACGTCACGTGATTGTTAGAACCAGACAAAACACAAAACATGACTGTCCTGTAAAGCAAATCAAATACAGGCTTGTATAGCTGAGAGGGCAAAGTTTTATGTCGAATAAACATAATTTTTATTGAATGAAGTGATTTTGAGGTTCTTTGATTGTAATAACCTTTCGATATAAACTATCAAAAAACAAATACTCAGGAGTCAACTTAATACAGAGAGCTGGGTAACAGGGAGATATAGATGTAAGAAAGCGGAAGTTATAGATTCACGAATAATCAATATTTGATCTAACGGGAAAATAAACTGTATTTAGGGACGTTTATTAATTTTTGCTAGATACACAGACTATCATTATAATATTTTATAATATTTTGGAAATGACGTAAGCTTCATATTTACAATCTTGTCAATTAATGTTTCGCGGTATTAACATCTGAAGCGTTCACAAACTGAATTGAAGTAAATATACCTACGATCATTTTAAAGATAAAATGCACTTACAAGAAATGATAATCCATTATCATGAAGGATATGGAGATAACGAATAGTATTGAATATCAAAGTCCATAAAACAATACAAAGTAGGAGCAGAGCAAGCAAAGACCTCTAAAACATTAGAGGTGGGATCAGGTGCCATGGAGGAGTGAGCATCCCATGCTTACCGGTCACACCCGCCAAGTGCTTCTTGTCATGATCGGGAAATAACGGAAAAATCCGTCGTCAATTCAGTGTATAAATAATGGACTAACAATTAGTATGAAAAACGTCAGTCAGCATTTGACTCAATGATACATTGTATTTGATAACGAGGTTATTGTATCGACCAAAGAACTTACGAAATGATGGCCTTAAACGAGACTGCTGAAATTCTTGTTTCAGCAACTTTTAACCTCTTTTTTGAAATTATTCATACGTATGCTCTAGCAGATCAAATCAACAGAGATATATAAACTCCGTTTGCAGGTGATGAAGGTATATTGCTGCATAAGTAAGGGAAGTTGACGATAGAAAAGTTAAAGTCATCACGCTTGGTTGTTAGATTACCATGAACGTCTTTTTCAAGTAAGATATCCAAGTATGAAACAGATGTGTCAGACTCTGTGGTATCTTTTATCTCAAACTATTCGAATAGGTGATATCACTTTTTGGCAGTAAATACCAAAACGGCGCCCCACATTTAAGACTCATTTGATACTAGAGCATGCTCTACGTATGAACAATTTCTAAAGCGAGGTAAATTATTGAAATTTTAAAATGTTATATCAGAAGTTTCGTTTAAAGTCATAGTTTAGTAAGTTCTAGGGTCGATACAATGACCTTGTCAGCAAACACACAGACTATCATTTGTTCAAATACCTTCATACTAATTGTTAGGCCATTATATACCAGTACACACTGAATTGTCGACGTATTTTCCCATTATTTCCCGATAATGACGAGGAGCACACGAAGGGAATGACCGGTCGGTACGGGATACTAACTCATGGCACCTGATCCCACCCTATGTTTCTGAAGTCCGTGTATTTGCTCTGCTCCTATTTTGAATTTGTTTAAAGGACTTTTGAGTTTGAATCTGTTTTCTTCTCTGTATTTCAATCGTCATGGGACAATGTAAATACATGTATGGAGACATTCTTATTCATATACATGTAATATGGTACGTTTTCGTTCAGACAATCTTAAATAATGTTATTTCCTATAAAATATATTCCTAAGAATTTAATATCTAAAATGTATTACTGGGTGGTTAAATAATTGTAGGTGGTCTGATCAGTGGAATATTTGCATTTCCTTTTTCAGAATCTAAATGTTTGGGGATCATTAGTGTGATTTTGGATAACATTTAAACTTATTTTTAAGGGGGCCGACTGTAGTTTTCATTGCGCAATATTTCGCGCATCATAGTAAAATGACGCGTATTTACTGTTTTAAAGCAACTTTTTCCACTTGATTAATAAAATTAATCAAAATTAAGAAATTACAGATTTAAAAATGTAATTACAATTTTATATAACAGAATTTTTATCCGATTTTGCTACTGATAGGTAGGTTGACGACGTTATAGTGTGTTTTTGACGTTAGAATAAACTGAAACTCTTAAAGCAATATGAGCTGCAACTTTGATGTCGGAATTGTTTGTTGAAATATTGTAAATAACTATTTCAATGACTGAAAAAATAACATTATATAACTTTTGTTGTTCATATTTGCAATGGAAGATCTATTTATAAGCTTTGATTGAATCAAAATTACATTATTTTCGTCCTGTACAATAATGATTTCTTGTATAAAAGTGTAATTTGGATTGTGTCGTTCTTCTGCTTTATTTTAGTACAATTGATCATAAAGGTTTAAGTTACATACAAATTTATCAAAATAACAACTTTTAACACCAAAATAAAATTTTCAACAATGCAGCTCATATTGCTTTTAAGAAAGGGGTAATAAAAATGTTATTAAATAAAAAATAATAAACATACGCTTTTGAAATTTAAAACATAGAAATTTGAGAGTCTCTCTATTATGCTTATCATTTTTTCATATCATATCTTTGTGCCCGTCATAATTTGTAGAACTTGATAAAAAAACAGGAAAATTCGTTAATTTTTGTTCTTTTGAGATGCCCCCTCTGGTAACAAGACGGTAGAATTTTGTGTTTCTTACACATAATGTACAATATAGTTTTACTCATCATATATTATAGTTTGAACAAAAACTTTATTGTATTATTTGTATAATTTGCTTTAAAGTGCTAAAAATTGGCATTTTTCATATAATCCTATAGTAAATGTACCTATATTTTGAGACGGCCCTTAAAAATACCTGGACGTTAGATTTCGCCCAAACTTTACATGTACAAAAGTTAATGTAAGTCATATATTGTATAAAAATGAAGAGTTTCGCTATTGTAGTTTTCACACAATAAAACCCCACTCGACCCATAAAATTGGGTTAAATCACCAATAACGTTGGCAAGGGAACAGGTCAGCAAGTCGAACACAGTAGGAACAACTTTCTACAACTCTTTTGGAAGAAGGATATGGAGATAACGAACCGTATTCAATTTCAAAGTCCATAAAACAATACAAAATGAGAGCAGAGCAAACACGGACCCCCGAAACATCAGAGGTGGGATCAGGTGCCATGGAGGAGTGAGCATCCCCTGCCGACCGGTCACACCCGCCGTGTGCTCCTTGTCATGATCAGAAAATAACGGGAAAAATCCGTCGTCAATTCAGTGTATAAATAATGGACTAACAATTAGTATGAAAAACGTCAGTCAGCATTTGACTCAATGATAAATTGTATTTGCTGACAAGGTCATTGTATCGATGATAGAACTTACGAAATAATGACTTTAAACGAGACTGCTGATATTCTTGTTTCGTCAACTTGCTTGTCAATAATTTACCTCGTTTTAGAAATGGTTCATACGTAGAGCATGCTCTTGCGTATCGAATCAACTGAGATATATATACTCCGTATGCAGGTGATGAAGGTATATTGCTGCATAAGTAAGGGAAATTGACGATAGAAAAGTTAAAGTCATCATTTTTATCATATAGCTTGGTTGTTAGATTACCATTAGTGTCTTTTTCAAGTAAAATATCCAAGTATGAAACAGAAGTGTCGGACTCTTTGGTATCTTTTATCTCAAGCTCACCAGGATATATAGTATCGACGTAGGAATGGAAATTACCATTTTTAAATGACAATACGTCATCGATATATCTAAATGTCGAGTTGAAGGCCACAGCAAGTGTTTTCTTCTTTTCACGCATAAGATTTTGCATAAATTCTGCTTCATATGAATATAGAAATAAGTCTGCTAATAACGGAGCGCAATGTTTACCCATGGGAATTCCAATAGATTGTTGGAATACCTTGTCTCCAAAAACCACATAGATATTGTCAATCAGAAACTCAAGCATCTTCTTGATGTCAACTTCAGAGTACTTATGTGTGCAATCAGAATCTGTTTTAACAAAATAATTTTACAAACGACCAATGACGAGGTAAGTAAATTTACGAGTTCCATTTTTATTGAAGAAGCAGCTGTCAATGATATCAAAAAGCCTGGATTTTAATTTGTCGTGGGGAATTGTTGTGTATAAAGTTGAAAAGTCGTACGTTTTTAAGCTGTTGATTTTTGAAAAGTCCTGTGATTTCAAATTGTCTAAAAGTTCTTTAGAATGTTTTAGTATCCACATACAACTTCTTGAATATATAGTTGCACAGTACTCTTAAAGTTTTTCCTTCACTGGAACAATTAGATAACATCATTAACTAAAACTTTGTTGTCAATCATGCATTAATGCCTCACATCCGTTAAGTGCGTTACTCTTCTAAAAAAAGAAAAACTTTTTTTTTGTTTTTGCTCAGGACAGACAGAGTAGGTTTAAAAAAAATTAAACACAATACCGTAAAATCACAGATTTTCGTCGTGTAAAATGTTCGAGGTTTAAGGATAGAATATTGGTTTGTGGGAATTAGATTTCATTGAATTTGATGATGGAATGTTGAGTTGAGCAGTGTTGAGTAATTATGCATATAAAATTTTACATTTGGAGGTGGTCATAGATTCATTGGTCTCTCCATACCTTGAAAACGAAGTAAATCAACATACACACCTCTCCCAAAATGTCTGTTGTTTCAAAATTTCACAAACAAAAATGATCTCGATATGTATCTGTAGAAAAAAAAACATGCATAGCTACATTTTAAATAGATTTATTAAATAAGGTCACTATCTACATACTCGATTTTCTTGAAGTCAATTTTACCTACAATATTATCTCGTGTGCTCTCTGATTGACATAGCATTTGATGTTACATAGCATGACATCAATTCAATCTTCTTTTTCTTATTTTAACTGATAAAATTATGTTCCCCAAACGAAGTTGGGGAACATATTGTTTTTAATCTGTTTCTTATTATTATTATGTCGCCCCGAACGAAGTCGGGGACGACATATTGATATTGTACGCATGTTTTTTTTATCCAGGCTGTTTCTCGGAGATGGCTGGGGCAATCTTCCTGAAACTTTCCTCAAAGGACGATCACTGGTTGTAGTTGTGCAGTGAGGTCGTTCAGTTCCAACATGTCTACCGTTGCCATGGAAACCTGT